GGTGGAGGAGCAAGTTGCAAAAAGTGCAGTCACTCCAGTCACTCCGAGGAGGAAACCAGTTCCCTTGGCACCGATCTTGATGGTACAGTGAGGATGGGTGGACTGCAGCAAAAGAAGTGCACGCATAGCTCTCACTCTGAGGACACCTCCATTGGACTAAGCATTTCGGAATGGTCAACAGGTACCAACACAGTACGCCAATATGCAAATCTCTCCGGATCAGATAGCCTTTCCGCAGTGTCTACACATTCGTGTGCCAAGAGCGAGAAGTCTAATCAAACTAAGTCGAGCATAAGTTCGATCAATAAATCAGCGGAGAGCTTAAACGAGCAAAGTGGAGGAAGTAGCTTCTCTCACAAATTTAGTGGAGATAATGGTTCTTCTGACGGCCTACGCTATGACATTCTGTCTAACTCAGAAACAGATAAGCTTAGTGAACCCACCTCGGCCACTCGAAGCGATGATACTACTCTAACTCTTACCGAAATGGCACACACTATAAGCGAGTGGTCCACATCAAGCAGTCGCACCTTGGTGGGGGTTACTCCCGGTGAGTATCATCCACTGAAGCAGACACGTGTGGGTAGCAAAGCTAGTCTGAGTTCTCCCAGCGAAGAGAAACGTAGCTCTCTGCCACAGGTTCATCGAAGAAGCGGCAGCAACGGCAATCAGGCAAGAAACGGCCAAGAGCAAATGGATACTCCAACGGGTCCAGAGACCAGTGCAGCTGCCCGCAAGCGCCGTTCTCTGGAGATGATGTCCAAGCTATACCAAAGCCAAGAGATCTGCTCCGAGTCGGAGTCGCCGTTCGTCGAACGTTTATATGCTCACACCGAGAAGCTTACTGAACGCTACCAGAGTCAAGAGTTCGTACCGCTTCATGGAGGCACTCCATCAGTCCAGATCCCGCCATCCACCTCCAATCAGATACAAACCCAGCAGCCGCAGCTAGTGCGCCAGAAGCCAAGGGCACCACAACCGCCCACGGCCCCAAAGCCAGCAGTTACTAGACCCATTATGCAGGCCTTGCTCAACAAGATGAAACAACCTGGATTGGCAGAACAGGCGGCTGCAGCTGCCGAAGCTGAAGAGGATGCTAAAGCCAAAAAAGAGCCTCTACCAGTAGCGGTAGCAGTTGCGAAGCCTCCTCCACCACCCGTGCCCACTGTCCCGCCAATTGTGACGCCGAGCGATTTGCCGGGTGATGTTGTCGCTCCTCCACCTAAACCGCTTGCTAAGCACCACAGTTATGATGACAGGACAATGTCCAAGACCCAGATTCGCGAGTTTAAGACCACCAGCAAGCAGCTACGTCAGTCGAGTTCCTTCCACGAGCACATGCTCAGCAAGTCACAGCAATCATCGCAGGAGCTGCCCATGCGCATTGACGAAGAGCGAGATGCACACTCCACGTCCTCGGCTACCAACACGACCACCACTACCAACACGCTAAACAGCGAAAGTACAGAACCGAATTCACCACAAATGCCGCAGCGGGCGGATAAGTTGATACGGTGCTCACCCTATTACTCAAGCAGCCTAAGCTCCGAATCGCCACCCAATCAGTTGGTACAAAAACCACCAAGGAAAACGGCTAGTCAACTGAGTACTGGAGCGATGGCCACTTCGTTGAAGAGCCCGCCAAGCGGCAATGATACTGATAGCTCACTGGATGTGCGAGGCCAGGAGGCTAAGATGAGGAGTAGGGGCTTTCGCAAGAAGCGTCAGCTACCTGCCAAGAGGATGAGGGCTAACATGACAGCTGCTGCTCTGCTGGAACAAGCGGAAAGCTCTGAGTGCTCAGAGGGATATCTACCAGAGGTGGATTCGGGGAGCTCCGAGTACTCATCCTGCCAGCGGGACGATCAGTACCTTGAGTTCGACGAGGAGCTAGAAAGGGAGCATGAACAAACAGACGAGTACGATGACTATCCTCAGTATGGGGGGAAATTTGAAAGTTTGGACATGAGTGACAATGTGGACGAGATGGGATTTCCGCGATACGATCGCCTGGGTCATATTACCAAGCCCATGTACCATCAACCTGTACAAATGGAGCGACCTAGTGCCGTGCAGGTGCCAGCTGCTGCTAATCATCCAATGCCTCCGGCCACGGGCCAGCCGGTGAAGCCAGCTCGCACCAAAAAAAGGCAACTCAAACGAGAAGATTCCATGGCGGCGGGAACTTCAGGGAATTCGGCAGCAGCCCCAACAATTCAGCCCTACCATGGACGAAGTTATTGCAATCCGGAGGAGAGCGAATACGAGACCAGAGGCGGCGGTCTGTCCGATGAACTGGCCAACTCTAGTGAGGATAGCTGCAGTGGATTCGGTGGAGGAGGAGTGGGTGCATCAGGATCGGGTACTATACGAAGGGGAGTAGTGCCCAGAGGAATAGGGCAAGATTCAGAGTCCACAGCAGGAGCCCAAGTGCGCCAAGAGCTACCCTATCCAGACTTCCTCTCCGACTACGAATCCGAACCCATTGAGTATGAGCGTTATGCCTGCGGATTAGATATACGTGTGGATCCGCCGCCCAAATTTCACGACTCGGATGAATTAAGTGACCAGTAGACCAGTGGGGTCTCCGAGGAATAATTTAGGAAAATGAATGGAACCCCCTTTGCATGTGCTTATCGAATGCAGCCTTTTGATTTATTCCGTTGCCTTGGAAACGTTTTTAGAGCAATTCTACCATTTTTACACACGATCCAAGTACTTATAACCTTAAAACTTATTTGTAATTGAGACTGATTTACGACAAGCAAAAAACCAAAAGTATAAAACCCAAGAATCTTAGAAGCTGCATAAACAACCAAAAAAATGACTAATGACAATTTAGACAATTATAACTCTCTCCTTGAAGCGTTCGAAAATCAAATCAAATTCAAATAAAACATTTTAATCAAACATTACCAAACATTACGAATCAAATAAAAAATACCATAAATAATCGACATGGTGGTAGGTCGGTGTAGATTGTGTTGCCTATAGGCGGTATCTACGTATATGACAATGTTATAGATCAATTCAACATTTAAATATATAAACATATATGGGATATATTGAGCGGAAACGTTAAAAGAGTTGAACAAATTTTAATGCACTGTTTAATCATCGAATAATGGAATACCAGATACAAGAATAAACCTGTTTAATTGTTATTTAGCTAATACATCACGAATCGACACACGATAGTTAAGAAAACAGTTATTAAATTAATTATATTACATTATACTTGTACGATTCATTCAAGTTGCCAAGAACTCTGCGCGCCATTACGTTCAGCATTGGTTGCGCAGATCTATTAATCCTATCCAGCTGAGTTCCAATCCAAGTGTCAAAGCCAGGCATGCCTAAATAGACATAAGTACGAAATCGACCCTCTAAGTCTAGTAATCTCAGTAATGGTAATTATTGACAAATCAGCCAAAATGCTTTCAAGCACTAACCTAAGGAGCACTAAAGTTGGTAGGGATGGAATAGTTCTCAAAAAGACATTGAGAGTTCCTGTCTACCGATCCTCCAGTTCCAGTCTTCTCCCTCATACATAAATACATATGTATTCCTTTACCAGAACTCGGCATTATCACTGTATAACGAAAGCATTTACTCAATGGCGGCGATTTCTAGTCATATATATTTTATACAGTTCTTGAGCTCCGTAAGATTTTAATTTATATACTTATATGCAAGTTACCAACATAACTATTACTTACGATTCTCACAAATGCAAATAAATGTTAGTCATTAGTTCTAGTACATAAATGTGCCAAATTGGAGATCCTGAAATAGAAAGCCCTATGTCAAAAGTATTATCTATATATGTGAAATTGTAATATGAGGCGTTTGCAAAAGGAATTAATAATTACCCTGTTAAGTTTTAAAAAAAAAACCCATTGGGAACCTTAGAATTGTATGGGGTAGATTGATGTATGTTTGATGTTTAAGTTTACAATACGTGGAAAAGAGATATTTAAGTGTTGTTAGGGTTGGTGAGACGAAGGAGCTTGGGATGAGGCTAAATAAGGAACGTACAGCGTACAATAATTTCACTAATTTAATCCAGATCAAAAATAATCAAATCAAAATATCTATTTGTGTTTAGCTAATAGTGTGAAGGAAAACTGTAATAGAGAATTGGTTGTTGCGAACAAAGCTTGCATCTACGTTGAATAATGAAACCTATATTCGGAGGAATCTAACCAACCTGATTTTAGTTAGGGAGCAAACGATTTTAATGTGTGAATTTTGTATATTCCCGGCAAACGAGATTTTAAAACAAGTTTTAAGTTGCCAGTGCGGAAATGTATATTTATGTAGGTTAAATTATTTTGATTGGACAATTTTCTCGAGTGCGAACCTATAGATCATTTCCATCTAAAACTGTATTTACCTAGAGAAAGACACGAAACACAAGATACTAGCTGAATTTTAAGAAGTTGAGAATGAAAACGAAATAAAAGTTTGCTTTGCATCACAGAAAAAAAAAAACCGTAAAAAGTATATAAATTCAACACAAAACATAAAAATAAGAACACAGAAAGGAAAGAACAGAATCATTAATGTGGAATGGGAGTCTTATAACGAATGATGTACACGAGCAATCGATTTAACAACATTAAACTATAATTATATAGAAATGAATCTAAATAAATAAAACTTCATTAATCAAATATAAAGGGCGCGGAAGACTTTTATTTGATTGTTTCAGGCATCTTAAGAACAAAAAGCATTTTCAGTAAATTGTAAATTACTTATTTAATTTAAGATTACTTAATTTATAATTACTTTAAGTTGATCAACTCTTTATTAGGTATAATATGTATCAAGAAATATTTATTTTATTCAACTAAAGTGTCTTTTTCGCACTTTATATTTTTGTATAATTATAAATTGTTTGTTTAAAATTTTTTTGTTTAATTTGTATTATTATTTATTTTGATTTTCCTTCATTTTTTGTGTCTGTTTCAGATGTTTACCACGGCATCAATGGAAATATGTCCCTAGACCGGCGCGGTGAGATAACAACTCCCCCCACGCGCTATGACCTCACCCTGGGATCGGACAAGTCGTCGTCCCTCTCCCGATCAGAGGCTGGAACATATGACGTGATTCAGGCGGAGATTCAGCATGCCAAGCGCCAAGAACTGGCCACTGGCGTAGCCACCGCACCGCACCAGAACGGCCACAATGGTAACGGAGTTGCGCCTGGTCATTCCCATTCCCTGACCACTCAGCATGATATCGAGGCAGAGGTGAAGAAGCGTAAGTGGCCAACCGAGCCGAGCTATTTCTTGGCCAAGGAGCTGCTGATGACAGAGCGAACGTACAAGAAGGACCTCGATGTGTTGAATACGACCTTTAGGCAGGTACTGAGCCTGGACGATGTGGAACAGCTGCAGCCGCTGTTCGAGCTCCTGGACTCGTTGGCCCAGCACCACAATCTCTTTCTGCGTGACATCGAGCACCGCCTGGTTCAATGGGAGGGGCGTGGGGGCCACGAAGCCCACCGCATCGGTGACGTTATGATGAAGCATATGGCGGCACTTCCCATCTACGACGAGTATGTGCAGACGCATCTAGACATTCTCCACTGCCTAAACGAAATGTACGAGGGTGATGAGCGCTTCCGCCAGGTGTACAAGGACTTTGAACAGCAGAAGGTGTGCTATCTCCCAGTGGGTGAGCTCCTACTGAAGCCCCTCAATCGGCTTCTGCACTACCAGCTTTTATTGGAGCGTCTGTGTGACTATTATGCGGAGGAGCACATTGACTACGCTGACTGCCAAGCGGTACACCACTTGCTAGTCCGCAGCACCAAGGGAATCCGTGCCCATCTGCCCGATTCGGCCAACTTTGTGGAGCTATGCGAGCTTCAGCGTGACATCAACTTTGAGCAATTGGTCCAACCCCATCGAAGGCTCATCCGCCAGGGATGCCTTCTTAAGCACTCGAAGCGTGGCCTGCAACAACGCATGTTTTTCCTCTTCTCAGATTTGCTTCTCTTTGGCACCAAGTCGCCGCAGGACCAGAGCTTCCGCATCTTGGGCCATGTCCCAGTGCGATCCCTGCTCACCGAAAACGCCGAGCACAACACATTCTCCATTTTTGGTGGGCAGTACGCCATTATGGTTAGTGCCGGCACGACCGCCGAGAAAACCCTCTGGCTGGCGGAGCTCTCCAAGGCGGCGGCAGACATCAAAAACCGACCACCAAACATGCAATTGCCGCTAACGACGCTCAAGAACTGCAGTAAGTACAATATTATAAGGGAATGCGGGGTAGTTTTTATATACCAGGTACTAATGGGCACAACTTATTTCTAATCGGTTCATAATATCCCACCCCATGAGAATATACATATATTTATGATTAGAACCTGCAATAGAAAGGTCACTGGAATTTTACTTGATCGAAATCGGATGAATATAAAATCCACAGAAATTTATGCGATCGAACAATACATTTAATACATAAAACCTCAGTGCCTTTCTTTATATAAAATATATATGTATATAAATTAAGCAGCTAAACAACATATTTAAGATAACAAGGGATACAAAGATTTGTGCTTATTTCTATTCTTTGTACTGATTATTTAAGTAGATAATTAATATAGGTATTCGAATATTAGGTGTGAATAAAACACATGATTGATATATATTTCAAGAATATCGAATAAAAAATGTTAACATTTCTTTCTCCTACACTCCTTTGCTGGGAAGAAAATCAAGCTGCAAGGCCTTGTAAGCAGACAAATGCTTAGTCAACCCAACTAATTCGTCCGTCTAATATATTTTTTCTAACCGTTTTCAGGCTCTTCGGAAGAGGGACTGGACCTGTTCGGCCTGAGCAACGGCAACAACAGCAGCCTAAACAGCAGCGTTAACGGAGGTGGTCCGCTGACGCCGCAGCAGCAGCAATTGCAGCTGCAGCAACAGCAGCAGAAGAAGACGCAGCCGTCGCGCAGCAACACCGCCCTGCATGTCTGCTGGCATCGTGGCGCCACCGTTGGATTGGGCGATCATTTGATTGCCGCCGAACACCAACTGTCCGGCTATCTACTGCGTAAATTCAAAAACAGCTCCGGCTGGCAGAAACTGTGGGTGGTGTTCACCTCGTTCTGCTTGTACTTCTACAAGAGCTACCAAGACGAGTTCGCTCTGGCCAGTCTCCCGCTCCTTGGCTACACGGTGGGGCCACCTGGGCACCAAGACGCCGTGCAAAAGGAGTTTGTGTTTAAGCTTTCTTTTAAGAACCACGTTTACTTCTTCCGAGCGGAAAGCGCGCACACCTATAACAGGTAGGCTAAATATTTTGTAACCTAGTCTACATACGATGTTTGACTAATAATTTAATTGTTTCAACAGGTGGCTTGAGGTATTGCGCAGCACCACTCAAACGCAGGACTTTAAGAACATACACAGCCATGCTGCGTTGGCCAATTAGAAGAGGATAATCTTCCTATAAATTCCTTGTGCAATTCCTTGGAACCTCCGCATAGAGACGGCCTTTAGTATTCAATTTTTTACAACTTGTGCACCACCAACAAATATTTCCATTTTTTATATGTATAACCTACGCGTTCCGCACTTTACGTATTGCAATGTATTTTATTTGTATTTTTTCCAGCTTTACCTTTAGGACATTCATGTAAATAACGTCTTTGTATCGTCTTTATTTGTTTTGCTTTCGTTTTTGCGATTATATTACAGTTTCCTTCTGTATTTGAATGATTCGAGTATATGTATATGTCTGGTTTAATGTGTTTTAGTGTATCGAGTTTTGTAATTATACATATGTATTTTGAAAAAAAAAGTATAGAATATATAATTGATTGAAAAATCAAATAAAATAATATTGACAGGATCAGTGTAATCAAAAATATATTATATCAACGTAACTTATGCAATTCTTTAATCATAAGCTTAAGTCATTAACTTTAATAGATATTAACAAATTAAAAATATAAAATTTTAACCACAAAAAATGTATGTATATTTGTTTTTATCACAGTAGTTAAAGATCCGGATACAATTTAATTGAAGAAATTGGATAAGGCAAGATAAGAGTTTGCCCATAAAAATGCAGAGTTCTATGATGTAGCCTTTAGACGATCATACCAAGATCATAGGTAATACAAAGTGAAGGCATGAGAAGTCATATGAACAATGCCCAAAGCTGTAGCTGAAGTAACACAGCATTTATTTGTTTATAAGTGTCCAGTAAAAATGAGCCCAGAGCTGGATTTAAACTGATGACATTACCGAAGTTTAGCCAATATGACCAACTTCGCCATACTCAGAAATATTTGGATAAATGACGATCTAGATATATTCCTATAGTTAATTACAAAGATATATGACAAACCACTATCATTCGGACATCGCTTGAAAAGCATTGATAATGATTAAAGAACTAATTAGTAGCCGATGAAAATGTTAGTTTGAAATATATGTGCCTTTTTATGTGTACAAAATATTAGAAATTCATTATTTGTCACCGAATCCACAAAATCATTGAGGGTATTTTAAAGGGAAAATTTTGTAGCAACTCTGTAACAAGGTAGGAATCAAAAGGCCGCGTTTCGTAATCAAGTTTCTGCTTTCGTCGAAATTGCATCAGAATTGAAATAATTCAATAAATCAATACACACAAAATAAATAAAACAGAAGAATAACAAGAAAGGAAGCTAACTTCGGCACGCCGAAGTTTATATACCCTTGCAGATAGAACTTCAATGACTAGGAATCCATACAATATAAATTATATATATTTGTGTTAAAAACAACGAAGTAATACCTGGTTTCATTTTATTCACCTTTACATATTATATTTGCAGCTTTACATTCACAGATTTGCATTTTCTTCTACATCAAACGATCGTTTGTATGGCACCTATATAATATATATACCTATATGATATAGTTGTCCGATTTTCATGAAATTTGACACAAAATTTGAGACTGATATAAAATGGCTATACCTCAAATTTGATGAAAATCTGTTGAAAACTGAAAAAGTTATCATTTTTAATTGTATTAATTTATCGATCGTTCCTATGGGAGCTATATGATATAGTAGTCCGATTTTCATAAAATTTTACACAAATTGTAGAGTATAATAAAATGGCTATATTTTAAATTTGAACTAATTCTGTTGAAAACTGAAAATGTTAAAAAAATTTTGTAAACATTTCTGATCATTCCTATGGCAGCTATATGATATAGTCGTCTGATCCGGCCCGTTCCGACATATATACGAGTGAGACTATATAGAAGGCTAACTACAAAGTTTTATTCAGATAGCTTCAAAACTGAGAGACTAGTTTGCGTAGAAACGGACAGACGGACAGACGGACAGAAGGACAGACGGACAGAGGGACATGGCTAGATCGACTCGGCTGTTGATCCTGATCAAGAATATATATACTTTATATGGTCGGAGGTGCATCCTTCACTGCGTTGCAAACTTCTGACTGAAATTATAATACCCTGGAAGGGTATAAAAATTAGTTGTAAAATATTTGATTTCACAGGATAAAACCCAAATCAAAAAGTAAAGTCATTACCTTCTTTATTATTCTGTATTTTGATCAAGTTACTGTAATATTTCACCCATCAACCGGTTTTTGTGTCGTAAATTGTTTTTTTTTTTTCTATGTATACCACGCTCCATTATGTTATAAATTTGTTTACTTTTTTTTAACTTTGCAGGGTATAATTAGTCAGAAGTTTGCAATGAGTGAAGGAATTCGACCCTACAATTGTATATGTATTATACAAATTTCTAATGTGTTCTATTTTCCCCTCCAATTGTTTCTAGGGACAATTACTGATTTGTTTACACTCGTTCGGTTTTACACTCTAAAAACGATTTGAAAAACAAGGATTCTAGACTTATGTAAATGCATGCTTTATGTCGGGACGGCGCGAACGCCATTCCCGGCTACCAAAAATTACACGCACGAGTTATTCACATTAGGAATAATCGCAGAGGTCAACTCAGCCGAGGTGCAATGGCCAAGCCTCACTCCGGAGGAACCGCCTTCGTGATCACGGTTAACCTCTACGCCAGGTAAGTATGCTTTTCTCGGCTCGGCCTAGGGGTTTCCATGAACGAGCCGCTTGAAACCGTTGGGAATTATAAGTCCGCATGTTGAATGATAAGTCATCCCCGAAATTATACTAGACATATTTACATTTTCAACTTTAATTACTAGTCAGACATTGTGCGTACTCGAGCGAAATATCCTCCATGGTCAGGAAATTCAATTGAAAGTGGCAACTACTATCCAGTGATTGCGAAAATCTCCCTCAAAGATGACAACACGCGAATCACTCCTGCTATACGGCCGATCGCAGTGCGGAGCCTGCCAGGCAGCCTGGAGGTCCTGCATCGCATTTTAAGGACAATGCCTTTGGTGTGGCGGCAGCCCGTAATGGAACTTTCGCCACATCCCAAAGCTTGCTCCACCATTGCCTCTTTGAATGTTCTCTTTAGAGTACCCATTTTCCCGATCGATAAATCTTCTTTCCCTAAACAGCACTGGCATTGTGTCCTTGAACGGAGATCAGATTATGGAGATGATTCCTACCTCCCGTGGATTACTTCTATTCTGGTGCTGGAGGCAGATAGAAGAAACGGGTTTAAGAATTAGTGGTAGTGAAATAAAAATTATTTATTTTCATTTATATCTTACCTTATAAGTTAAGACTGTATAATCGCTGTATGTGTACTGTCACCAGTATATTTACTTGTTTTTCAGTGGGGGCGGAGCAGTACCTCCTACAATAAGATCGAGCTGCAAAAATATCTCTTACATTTTGACGAAAATGTATGACTACATGCTCAAGATCCTGATCGTAGAGGACGTCGGTGTGGACAAGACCTCTTAGGTCGCTTCTTGGAGGACAGCTTCAACCTCAATTACAATGTGTGCCAGGCAGAGGTGGCTCCAAAGATGATGCTTCTACAAAGGATTCCTCCGGCAAGGAATTATGCAATGCATACGAGTTACTATTATCCCGATGCCAACGGTGTTATCATTGTTTTCGATACCACATCGCTCAACAGTTTTCGCTGGGGGGCAACACTCCTTGCGGCACATGACGCCGTGCTCCTTCAGCCAGTGGCTCACGTTGCGGAAGCTATTGGGCGATATGGTATCGGAAACAAAGATAACACCGTTAGCATTGGGATAATAACTAGAAAGCATGGAAATGGTCCCCACCGGCTAAATTCCACACTTGTAGGAGCACGACCTTTCGAGCCACCTCCGCCGGTTGCGTTGTAATTGAGAGAGAAGCGGTCCTCCAAGAAACGCCCAAAGAGGAAGGTCTTGCCCACATCGGCGTCTCCTAGGATCAGGATATTGAACACGAAGTCACACATTTTCGCCGGAATGTAAGGAAAATTTGTTTAGCTAGATCCAGATGTAGTAAGGTAATGACTCGGACTGAGAAACACGTACTGACAAATCAAAGTTTAAACAACCCAAAATAGCATGACTTACGTGGATATCAATTAACTTTGAAAATACATTAACCATAATAATTTAAACTATTCGTTGACTATTTAATTTCTCTAAAACTGTTAAAAATTTACTTAAATATTATATGTATATTAATCTCCAATGAGTATTATAGAGGTCCGATTAAAACGTTTTACTTAGTATTCTTTCTCTATTGTGTCGGAAATGACTCCCTCACTGCGTTGCAAACTTCTGACTAAAATTATAATATCCTGCAAGGGTAAAATAAACAAATATACACAAATTTTCTAATATATGTAATTAATTTTGTAGGCAGTATTTTAATCCGACTGTCGCACATTTTCTTGTACAGCCTTAATAAACATATACTTGTAATTTTAAATAAACAGTGTAATTGGTATTTAAGGCAATTTAATCATTTAAAAAAAAAAAATATATATATATATAAATGAATTATTATTATTATTATTCCTTTTTATACCCTTGCAGGGTATTCTAATTTCAGTCAGAAGTTTGCAACGCAGTGAAGGAGGCACTTCCGACCATATAAAGTATATATATTCTTGATCAGGATCAATAGCCGAGTCGATCTAGCCATGTCCGTCTGTCCGTCTGTCCATCTGTCCTTCTGTCCGTCTGTCCGTCTGTCCTTTTCTACGCAAACTAGTCTTTCAGTTTTGAAGCTATCTGAATGAAACTTTGTAGTTAGCCTTCTATATACTCTCACTCGTATATATGTCGAAACGGGCCGGATCGGACGACTATATCATATAGCTGCCATAGAAATGATCGGAAAATTTTTACAAAAAAATTTTAACATTTTCAGTTTTCAACAGTATTGGATCAAATTTCAGATATAGTCATTTTATATTATTCTACAATTTTTTGTAAAATTTTATGAAAATCGGACTACTATATCATATAGCTCTCATAGGAACGATCGAGAAATTAATACAATTAAAAAATATAACATTTTCAGTTTTCAACAGATTTTCATCAAATTTGAGGTATAGCCATTTTATATCAGTCTTAAATTTTGGGTCAAATTTTATGAAAATCGGACGACTATATCATATAGGTGCCATACAAACGATCGTTAGATGTGGAGCAAAAATGCAAATTTGTGACTGTAAAACTGCAAATATAATATGTATAGGTGAATGAAATGAAAGCAGGTCTTACTTCATTGTTTTTTAAGACAAATATATATAACAAGTATAAACTCTTTTTGTTTTGCTTCTTGCACTTTGCTGTATTGAACTTTGAAACTGCATATAAATCCTGCAACCAGAGTTGGCAGAGAAAAACTTCGGGTTTTCTTAAGAATTGTTGTGTTTCAGGTTTTTTTTTTTTTACTTTTGATTATACTATGTGGGGAAATCCTTGAATGTCTAGAGATTTATATTGTATGGATTCCTATTCATAGAAGTTCTATCTGCAAGGGTATATGAACTTCGGCGAGCCGAAGTTAGCTTCCTTTCTTGTTTATATTTGTATCTTTTCATATCAAATAGGTATGTGAGCAATCAAAGAAAGAAAAACAACATCGATTTGTGGTATTTTCATTTATTGATATTTGAAATCTTATACTTTATTAATAATGTTAATTACAATAAGGTAATTTGAAATTCCACATAATTTGAATGGTTCCTTAATTCTCATCATTCTATTAACTTTACTTCTGCTGTGAATTGGCTTTTGGGTATACTTTCTTGCTTTGTTTTATTTGGTTCATAGTTGAAGAAAACAATGGGCTGCTATTATAGTAGATTATTCGTACATATGTATATAAGATTAACATGATGATGCTCAGAGCATCATCAGCGCATCCTCACCATCGTGATTTCGTCCAACACAAAGTGCCAAAAAGTGGAGGGTTCTTAGCAAAAGGAACAGCAATTTGCATTCAACAGAAAACAAGGTCAAGACTCGATTGTAAACGCTTAAAAACTAACTAAATCAATTGCCGCAGCCAAGACACAGGTGGAACCTAAAGAGTACATAGCGTGGCAAATGGCAGTTTATGAGGTGTTCCCATCCGACTATACACTAAGGAAAGCTCCCCGCACTTTCGTTTTTCATTGCGTGGGTCCTCGCAACAGACCAAATAAGGGTATAAACTGGGAACAGGACCAGATCTTACAGTTAGTATGGGGGAAAGTGGGTCTAGCAACGAAATTGGTCACTGGGTGCTACATAGGTGTACATACATACATATATAATTGCCTGCTCTCTCGTTCCCAACTTTGCAGATTCGCCTCCCGTACTATGCGAATTTTATGGTTTATATTGCTAACAACTAACATTTAATTCTCAATTTCTAGTTAATTTCACAATCTGAGGCCAATTAACTTATGAATCGATCTAGGTAGCATGTGTGTGTGTGTATGTGGGATTGTGTAGTATGTGTGGTATGTATGTGGGAGTTGGGTAGTTATCATTATTGACACTGGACATTAAGTTACAACGCGGATCTCAGGCAGCTTTAATTAATTTTTCCAATCAATTGGGCGTCTCGCTACGACACAAACTACTACAAATATGAATTTTGCTTAGTTTTTGTTTTTGGTTTAGTTTAGTTTTTCTCAAAAGACATGCTATGCGGTACGCACATCTTAAATGAAACTATTTTGGTTTTTCAATTGTTTGACATGGATTTTATAATTTTTTTTTTATTATTATATTCTTAATAATTTTTTTGCCGCTGCTATTTTAAATATAACATTTGAGTTGTTAGCTTATGAGAGACTTCTTACTGAATGCGGCCGCTTAACAAGCGTCTCTGCTTCAGTAAGATTATCGGGTGAATTTTTTGTTTTTATCTACGTCTCTGCCATTTGGCCAAACAAATATATAACTTACAACTGCCCTTTTTCTTATGTGTGGTGTGGGTTTGGGCGCTGGAGTGCCGCAGGTGTGTGAGCGATTTAGAGTGTTCTTGTGTTTATATGTTGCTGTGGTGCCGTTGGCGCTGTTACAATTTCATAGCATTACATTTATCATAAATATATCTGTTATTATTTAATTTAAACTTGTTTATGGTATTGCATATTTTTGTTGCTGTAGTTTGCTGATGTTTCAAGCTGCTGTGGCTCCTGCTTCTAATGCTGCTGCTGTTATTGCTGTTCCTAGAGTGGGCGCATGGCTAATCGATGAAACTCTGCTCCACACAGGCTTTCACACGTTTCTCGTACTCGCGCCGATTCTCTTTATACAGCTGGGCGGCGGTGGAGTTAGCCGGTGAGTTTGGATTGGGATCGCTCAGCAGTGACTACAGGCACAAATGTCAAAGAGTTAGATTAGTCAGAAGGAGAGATAAATTGGGACCACTCACCTGTATAGATGTTAGTATGGCTGACACATCGTATGTGGGACTCCAGCGGTTCTGCAATATGTCCAAGCATATGCCACCATCTGCATACACATTGGGATGAAATACTTTCGACACAAATCGAACTGTTGGCGGTTTGTTTGGATACTCTTCCGTAAATTCTATGGTTAACTTAAAGGTTCCGTCCTCAAATGGTGTATCGTGTGGACCAAAAATCACAGCATTCCATATCATAATATTATTATCTGTTGGCGCACCCGAGACACCCGTGGGTGGATCCTCCTGAAGTCTGTAAAAAGAAAATATTTGGAAACATTAGCTTAGAAAACGAGTTAAGTTAATATGTAGTAATCTGAAATAATAGTTGGACTGGCTCGAGGTTTGGGTGCTTTTTATAAATTTTATTTTACCACTTTGTATACTTTTTTAAAAAATTTATTGACATATACAAACCATCGATAGATTTTATCAAAGCGGTATCATAAATAAAATACAAATATATGAGTACTCAGCAATAAAAACAAAATATACTTAAATATAATATTATTAAATTAATTTTTTACGTACTTTAAAAGTTGCATTCGTATTTTATATACTATAAACGTTTTATTGTGTTTGTTTAAGATTTCTTCATTTAAAGAATAGGAGTAAGATCGAGACCCTGAGCGAAGTGAACGAAAAACGTAATCTGGAACTGCCAATTGGCACGTTATCTCGACCGGGAACGGTCGGAAATTTGGGTCAACAGACAGCAACAAGCGCGCGGCTTTTAACCGCGCCCTTCAATCTCCCTGAATCGATATGCGGGCCAAGAGTAATCATCGATTTAACAACATACAAACGAATGAAGTGAACTGCACTGTGAATAAATTATTACAATAGGTTCATCGAATATCATTTTTCCTGCAGACTGAATGAATACGCGTTATATTTTCTAGAATTTTCTTATTTTTTTTTAATTTCGAAGCACATTTCCGCATTTAAAGTAATCGTTTATTTTCAAACATTTATAAAATTGATTGATTGAATGATTGTAGTCCATGTCATTTTTAACAAATTAGCTATTTTATTTTTTTTTTTTTTTTTTTTAATTTCAATCGATATTGTTGTGGTTAAAATATCAAATTATATATAAATTATTGCGCGGGATATAATATATAATATAATATATATATTGTGGAGAATATATTTCTAGGAACCCATCAATGGTTTTATTTGCTACTTCACAGATTAGATAATCTATGTAACAAATAAAAACTGAATTGCCGATCAGTGTAGCAACCCTTTATTGTGATTTTAATGTAGTTTTTGTTGTTGTGGCTGGTTCTTTGGGGTGGCAATGATATCGTTGTCGTTGTTTTAGTTGGTGGTGAAAATCTCGCCCACCTCAAACAGCCTTGACATTTGGTTTCACATTCGCCAAAGTGCAATTCGCCAATTGGCAATTCACATTTTCAGCAAATGATGAAAATTCCAAAATCGAACGAAATTCCAATTGGAGTGTGTGCTTTATCTCTTTCGCGCTAAGTGAGTCAACAAGGTTAAGTACGAGTGCGAGCGGAAGCGGGAGCGAGAATGGAAGAGCGGCCAGGATGCAGCTGCTCTGACTCAGGCGAAAGCAAAAACAACATATTAGCTGGCGCACTCATATTATTGTTGTTAATGTTTTGTCTACGACGCAATTTCACCAAAACGGAAGAAGCATTTTTGTTTGGTTTTTCGAATTTTCCTCTGCGCCACCTCCTTTTCCACCGCGCTTTTCTTTTGCCCTCTTTTGTTTTCCTCGCACACATCAAAGTCAAGTGTCAAAGACAAGCGAATCGATGTTCTTGTTTTTGTTGTTTTTCGCGAAGAGCAAAAAGCAACTCACACACTCGCACTCCCACATGCACATGTATTTTGGCTGCGCAAACTTTTCCACCACATACACACGGTTGTACATTGTACATACATATATACATATGGATGACTGCGTGTTTGCCTATATGTATTGGGCAGCAGCCCCAGGTCTCGTTCCGTTTTCTCCAACATTTTTCGTACCACGAAAACGAAACTTGAAGCACGAATCGAATCGAACACGCAAAATCCGACGACGGTGTGTACTTCGCATTTCTCCTTCCTTATTTTTTCATCCATTCCTTCTGCCTTCCTTTCCCTTTTCTTTCCTGCCGTTTTCTCACCTTTTAAAATCTCTCATAAGACGTCTGCGTGCGGGTGTTGACATGTTTCACAATGTTCCTACAATTTGTATTGAACGCGAATTTAAAACGCCTTGGCGATACGCTGGTTTTGCAACTAGAAACAGTGAAATTTTGCAATTTTATTTTTAATTGAGGGCAAATTCGGGCAGCAGCGTAAGAAAATAGAGTTGGTAGTGTGACCGCGACTTGGACGTGAATAAATATCAAAATATACCTTCCCAAACTAAAATAAACTGTCATAAGCAAGGGTGCGGAAACAGGGAAAACACAACAGACTTGCTGTTATACTCTCAAACGTGAGGTCTGGTAACGCTAAAGTCCCGAGCACGTAGCGCTACCAGCATTACCAGACTGTGCGGTTTCGAACGGCTGCCACGGAGGATGAAATACAGCTCTTTTTTGAAGGCTGTAAAAATTTTAGGCCAAAGTTAAGGGAATAAATGATTTTACGGTACTTAAAAAATTTTTTTTAAGAAAATTAAAATATTCCAAAAAATTTTATTAGTCATAATAGCTAAGGAGCTATGGCCGTTTTCGGCAGAAGAAAATAAGTACGATCTCGACTGCGTATTTCCGAGGTACTATCTCGGACCACAACGTCCAAATGTAGAAATACTGATATTAAAATAATGAAATCCTCTAATCGTTGTTCATAGAACCTACAACAAAAGTTATACATTTTTAAGAAATCTTGTTAAAAATTACATTGATTTGTTTATGAACACCATTTTAATTTTTTTATTACAGAATCGGATAAAGGCAAGAATCTGAACTCTACTAAAAGCAAAGAAAAAATTCTGCAATCAAGTTTGGTGATCATTAATAGTAAATATAACTTCCAAATAATATAACTAATTTTAAAATCGGTTCTCGGGTATAAGTCTTTAATTGTAATATTATAACATATAATTTTCTTAATGTTAAAAACGGAACTAGTGCAGTAATGCACTTTCACCTCCATTTTTCCTGAACCAACTGATTTTTTAAAAAGTTTAAGTATGCATGATCTAATACTAAAGTGATACATTCAAATGTTTATAGAAGTTGCCTTGCATACACTCTAGGTGGCCATCGTCACTAGATGGTCGTCCACAGTAATTTGTCATCTGACCTTTTTTTTAGTGATTTAAGGTTTCACATTTTTAGACTTTGGTCACATGAAAAGTGGTTGGTTTTTTTTTTAATTTAAATGACACATTTTTGAGTTCAAATTTTAGATTTATTGGATACTTTATGACTAATTAGAGTTTATCACATGCTTAATTCTAGCTTAATTGCATTTCCCCTTAGACTGGGAACAGCTCATTGTAGGTGAAGTTCTCCAGAATTTTTGTCGTGACGACCAGGAATTGAGCCTGTAGGGCGCTGGCAATCGGAGCGATCAGGTCATTGGTGAAGGACTCGAAGTTCTGGTTGATCGTGTCATTAATAACATCCCCCAGAACCTTGTCTCCATTGAAGAGGTTCTCCAGCTTCAGGTTTCCCTTGCCTGTACGAATCTTCAGGACGAACTCCTTGACGTGCAAGTAATCCAGATCATTGACGCTCTTAATATCGTACTGCACTCGTACATAGGCTACAAAGTTGGTAAAGTTTCCGGTGAAGGGTCCACTGCCCTTGATGGGCAGTGCCAGGATATTGCCATTGATCTCGTACAGTCCGTCTCCTTGGAGATGGGGCAGAATCAGTTCGAAATCGAAGCGACGATTTTGGGTGGATGCGCGCAGCTTGGTGATCTCGAAGTTTGAGGCCCCCAAGATATTAAGTTTCTTGGCTTTCACTGTAAGGCCGGCAGATCCATCCAGAATGCTCAATTCTCCGATATAGAGGGGCTCTAGTGGCGGGACATTGAGTTCCTTGATACCCTTCGCCAAATAGGGCCGTAGGTTGTGGACACTGCTCTTCAGGCACTTCGAGAGCTCCGGCTCGTTGCGATGGCAAATCTGAATGTACTCAGCTGGTAGAAAGACAAATCCAGTAAGTCAGCTGAAGCCATTGTATAAAAATTCGTAAACTTACGCAGCTGGGCTGTGCTGAGACCCAGGAAGCAAATCACGAGGGTTGCCACAATAAGTGAGGACTGCATTTTGCTTCGCTTCGATTCGAGTAATTTCTGCAAAGGGGAAAGGTTGGTTAATTAGTCAGTCGTCCTGATACCACTGCAATTTGCTTAATATTATATTCATCGGGCCCCAGCCCCTATGCTAAATGATCACCCTCCCATTTCGATCAACATCTCAGGGCTTGATTATAGGAATAATGTCGCTGCGATGTTGTCTAATAGATGGGAGGAGCTCGCAGACTGCCCAATTACTGTCATTTGTTGCCTCTTTTGTTAGCAGGTCTGTAATTGATTGTATAATTGTATACTTTTTTAAAAACGACCACAGAGGTTTGAACAACACATTGTACGAGTAATGGAATTTTTATATTTTCAAACGGTATTTTTTATTAAAAAAATTAGAGTTTTTAATGTTCGAATGTTGTTTTTTGCGTTCTGGAGTTTAATTTAATGTTTAAATGATCACTAAACAAAATGTAAATATTATCAGGACCTCAGGGCTAAATAATTAAAATGTTGAAGCATTCAATAAGAACGCCTTCTAAACTTGTTGCTAGCTAGGAAACTTTCACTATTGATTCGTCACATTAAATGTTTTATTTTCGAAGGATTAATAAGCGACAGGTTGATCCGTACAACCTTTTGCTTCACATTCAAATTTTTTTAACTCCTCAAGGATTCGCTGTTGAAACTTACACGAGTGAGCTGCGCTTTAAATTGAATTTGCTTTTATTTGCCTTTTGCACTGGCTTGTTATCTTTTTAGAAACTGGCGAAGGCTGCTCAACGTTCTCGAGCTGTTTAAGCCGTGTGTTGTTTTAGTAACCGTCAACGGATCGTACTGAATGCTAAGTTGTTAAGACTGACGCGTTTTATAGCAAAAGTTACGCTGCGATTTACATGAGAGCTTGGCTGCGGAGTCAGGCACACACGACGTAGAACTCGTACGCCCCGCTAATCCCCTCCAGAATTAAGCTCAGCAAGCTACTGGCGAAGAGAGCGAGAGACGCAAAGATACTGTTTAATAATAACAATAATAAAGGTTGGGGCGATTTCAGCCACACAAATGCACCCCAGATAGGCAAGAGGGAAAATTGCCAGTTGGCCGGGAAAATGCAGATCTTACTTCTAGTCGGAAGCTGACACACGTAGCGCTAGCCCAAAATAACCCACCGAACATGTGCACTCGGGAAAAATAATGTGTAACTAGTGTTCCGAGTCCCAATATGAAGGACATTCGAATTCGGGAAGCCGAGCGCCTTATCCTCTTTTAATTTGCAATGTGATACAACCAACAAGGCTATAATTTTTGTTAATGCATTTGTGGGTCTTTTGCATGGTAGCAATGATATATAGTAGTCGGATTTGTTGATTACAAAATTCCAAATAACTCTAAAATTAAAAGAGTAGTAGCTAACATACAAAAAGTTAATTTATAAAGATTTTCAATCAAAGGCATCATTGCTTTAATGCAATTCTTTTTATTTGTTTGAGTTTGAGATCTTTTGAAATTCACTCAACTCTTTTGGTACCAAATAAATGGTTTATAGTCGCGTAGTTTTCTTGTTTTTGATACTTCAGATTCTATTGAATGTCAGGGGTCTGTTTGTTGTCCAGTGCCCCTCGCTTACGCTATATAGCTAAGGGGCTGGACTGGGGTCAGGAAGATCGTTTTAGCAGCTGTCGTGCCTGTCGCAATTACGCCACGCAAACATCTTTGATTCGGGGGAGACGTGTGTTGAAAATCTGCTAGCTTTGGAAGTTGCGCGCGCGCGTGGATTACATAAGGTCGATCCCCTGTCGAAAAGCTTTCCCCTGCTTAGAATCCGTGGGGATCGCCAGTTTCCTATGACATGGTTCGATGCGGCGGCTGATTGGGGATGGCGGAAAATTGTTGAGGCGCACGCAAGTTGAGAACCAGGCAGAGCCGCTTTCCATATAAGAATTAGCTAACTTGAGATGTGGCAAGATGTGGCTCATTCGTCGTTTATTATTCAATCGGATCTGGTGAGGCTACCTACTACTGGATTCCATTGGTCACAGAGATTTGGATTGCGAATACATTCGATTTTTTGTTGTAGCAGCACAGGTTAGCTAGCTCAGAGAATTTCAAATACACAAGGATGTGCTGTTGTCGGTTATAATATACGGGAAATAAAACACTTAGCTTTGAATATATCGCCTTATATTATTTCATAGTAATTTCTCTTTTATTTATCCATGGGAGTTTTTCAATGCTTTGTTCTGTTATTTTGATATTACGAAAGACCACCAAATACAACATTTCGAAAGTTCGCCTTTCCTCCTCCGATTATTCTAGAACCTTTTCCCACATTTTTCATTCATACGAATGGCAAAGACCTTGAATTAACCTGAACGATCGGAAGAGCTAACGTGCATATAATGATAACCCCGATCCAGGTTGCCTAATGCTAATCTGATGATATAGCAACTAGTTGAGTAACTTCTACGATCATCTTTACTTGGTTTATTTAGTTTGAACTCTGTGCAATAAATTAGGGCCTAGGCTAGGGGAACTATGATATACATTTTAATTTAGGTTGATCCACTCGTCCAACGGGATCTTGGCGAATATGCGATCCATGAAGTTGCGGATGACAAGGGTGAGTTTGGTTCGCAGCGCCGGCTTCATTTCCTTGAGCAGCTCCTGGGAGTTGGAGTTGATGAATAGATTCAGAGCGGCCTCTGTGGAGGGATAAGATGAGATCAGGATTGCAAGTTGTAGTTCAGTTTCAACAGTAATTAGTAATTATTCTTTATAAATTGAACTGCTTTGAACGTACGTATGACCGAATTTCCATTGGCGATATTGTCCACTCCCATCTGGATTTCCTTGACGTTGAAGTCCATCTTGACCGAGTCGGTGGTCAGGTAGGTGCGTCCATCGGCAGCCTCGTTTGCCACCGCCTTGAAGTAGATCTTGGCTTTCACGCCCTCTGCGAAACCGAAAGTCATTAGTATGGCGTCAATAGATCCCAGAATATCGGATAACCCGGATACCTACCGTACTCCCCCCAGTAGTCGCCGGCCCCGGAGGCCTTCACCAAGATCAGCACACCTGTGGATCGGTACTGAGCCTTGACGCGAATGCGCGGTATCTCGCACGTCAGCTGGAACTGCAGCGAGTCCAAGTCGGACCTGCCAAACAGAAGGGCGAGATATGGATATTAGTGGGAGCCCCTAATGGCAATGACAGTGACAATCTTCATAGTAATGGGCTTTGCCTGAAACTGTCATTTCATTCACTTCATGCAAAGATGAGCCGCTGTTTATCGTTTTTATTGTATCTTTTCAACCTTGAAACTCTCTTAAAGTCAAAGATTTGCTTATGTAAGAGAACGCTTGGAGCCAGTGGGCATTTCGTGGGACACTTGGCGAGACCAAATCAATACTAGAAACCACAAAATGTAGCTTTAAGTATCAGTATCGAGGTTCTAAGCGCTCTTTTCAAAAGGAAGTAGTCGACTCTTGCAGAATGCCTCCTTAACATTTATTGTCTATTACCTATTATATGTTATCTGTAAGAAATAATGAAGTTTGATAACTTAACCTAAGATATTTAGTTATTTTCTTTTAACCCTACATATATTTGTTTTGAATAGATAGTTTTCATTGTTCGAAATACATTTCTATTATAGCAGTTAAATGTATATAAATAACAGGGTATATCACCACCGATAATGCTGAAACCGATATTGGAACCGGCCCAAAGACAGCTCTCCACTTAGGGAATCTAACTTTGGCACACTTTTCTGGCTCGTTTCTTGGTCAACGATCTGTGGGCCCGCCGTCTTTTCTGTGTTTGTATGTCTGCCACTTGGGTCTCGAAGTCTTTTATTTTTGCCAATTGAGTGCCAAGTGTCTATAGCCAAATTGACGGTCGCCGGTTGCTCGGAGTTGAATTTGTTGGAGTTGCTATTGTTGGAGAAGCTGTTGTTCCAAATACCGGTTAGCTAAGCTAAATGTGTTCTTGGCTTTGGCTGTTGCATAATCCCAGAGCCGCCTAATGTCGGAGTCCATCAAAGAGAGAGTTGGGGTGTAACTACTTTCAATATATAAGATTCGAAGGCCTTAATTAGTTTGTAGGAAATCTTTTTATCTTTAAAGCCATTTTTAACTTGAAATATGGATTGGAAAATGGTCTAATTGGTTTGGTTTCCACGAAAAATAAAGTGTTACTCCCTTAAATGATTAACTCGTAAAGTTTAATAATTTCCATGGGCCGGACTTCCCCGCTGATTAAAACTTCCCATAAAACTGCATTAAATACAAATTACTTGTAAGCGGTTAAAGGCTTACACACAATTTCCAGCAAATTTCTACTGAAACATTGGCCATTGTCTATGTGATTATTTCTAGATAAACCATGACTTAGATTTCCCTGCGCACACCCACAATACTTAAGTCCAATCAGAATGGGCAAACACCTTGTTGGGGCAATTACGCGCTAAAAATACTCGTAGACTTCAATAAAAACCCCGGCCGAATAAAAATCGAACTGGGCAAACATAAAACGCTCATGTCAGAGTTGAAGAGCCATTGAAATGCAAATCGGCAATTGCTCAATCGATTTCCCAGCGTGTGCCAAACGTTTTAGCTATAAATCAAGACTATGAGCTATGAGATATACACGAGGCTAGGCCAGCCCCGCGCAAATGATCGGAAACTGAGCTCATTTGAATGACCGCCTACAATGTTGACAGAACACCCGACGATCGAAGTGGAAATCGCGTGCTGGCCAACTGACTGATTGACTCACTGACCGATGGACTGGGCGTTTTAGCAAATTATCGGTACATTTAATTACAATAATGAGGAGACTATATACCGCATATCGGAAAATTTAAAGGAGTGCATCCTAAAAGACCTAAAAAAGGTTTAAGAACTCTTAAAAATTCGATTTAAGAAATTTCTTCACTTCATACCATTTTTATACCCTTGCAGGGTATTATAATTTCAGTCAGAAGTTTGCAACGCAGTGAAGGAGGCACCTCCGACTATATAAAGTATATATATTCTTGATCAGGATCAACAGCCGAGTCGATCTAGCCATGTCCGTCTGTCCGTCTGTCCGTCTGTCCGTCTGTCCGTCTGTCCTTCTGTCCGTCTGTCCGTCTGTCCGTTTCTACGCAAACTAGTCCCTCAGTTTTGAAGCTATCTGAATGAAACTTTGTAGTTAGCCTTCTATATACTCTCACTCGTATATATGACGGAACGGGCCGGATCGGACGACTATATCATATAGCTGCCATAGGAATGATCGGAAAATTTTTACAAAAATTTTTTAACTTTTTCAGTTTTCAATAGAATTGGATCAAATTTGAGATATAGCCATTTTACTATACTCTACAATTTTGCATAAAATTTTATGAAAATCGGACTACTATATCATATAGCTCCCATAGGAACGATCGAGAAATTAATACAATTAAATTTATAACCTTTTCAGTTTTCAACTGATTTTCATCAAATTTTAGGTATAGGCATTTTATAATAGTCTTAAATTTTGTGTCAAATTTCATGAAAATCTGACTATTATATCATATAGGTGCCATACAAACGATCGTTTGATGTAGAGGAAAAATGCAAGTCTTTGAATGTAAAACTGCAAATATAATATGTATAGGTGAATACAATGAAAGCAGGTATTACTTCATTGTTTTTTAACACAAATATATATCATTTATATTGTATGGTTTTTTATTCATAGAAGTTCTATCTGCAAGGGTATATAAACTTCGGCGTGCCGAAGTTAGCTTCCTTTCTTGTTATCGATGCTTTGAAAAACGTTTGTGTTCGATTTTTACATTTAAGGGTGCACGATGTCAGCTTAAACATTCATTAATAAACATTAAATGTTTGAAGATTCAGTAAGTAATACATTTTGGACATACAAAAAATATATTGCTATTTTAATTGTTGAAACAGTATTAAATACCTTTTTATTTAAATTATTATACATTCAACAATAACTTGTATTTAGTTGCAGGCAAGTCTCCCTGCAGCTAAGAGCAAATCAGGTCCCATTATATAGCAAAGATAATGACCGACTATGGAAATCATTTTAAAACAATCATTAATGCAAACTTAAATTGTTTGTGTTTTTTATTGATCCCTGAATAATTATAAGTGCCATTAAAATAGACTTCATTTTGTTCTAATTGGAAACTGAAGAGAGCAAATGAACTAAAACACAGTGAGTCGATGGATTCTCACTACTAAATCATTCTCGACAGAAGTATAAAGTTCTTGTAGTATTTACTTACCTGACATTGGTGACCGTAATGTTGCTCACTCCGTACGCTTGAATATTCCGGAAAAGGGCGCGATAGCCATCCGGACCACTGCCCAGAACAATTCCGATTTCATCGATCATCACAGGTTCGATCTGTTAAGGATTGAATTTCAAATAAATTAGACAAGGGTATACAAATGTAGATAAAGTGAGTCTTGTTGTTTTGTAGTTTATTTCTTAAGCCTGTGACATTTGATCAATTTTCATAATGCAATATATGATGATTTAAATACTTGTTTTTTCTCCACAAATTGTCAAGGGTTTTCAAATACTAATTTAATTTTAAGAATCATAATAAATGGGTATTCATTTGTTTGCATTTAAAATGAATCAGAGTTCTTTTGCTATCTAACTTTCTTGGAAATCTGGGTCTAGGCTCTGAAGGCTCTTAGTTTTAGCTATCTAATAATACGTTCTTCCCCCATATGCACCACTCACCTCATAGATGTCCAGCTCGGGCACTCCCTTCTGTAGATAGTGGACCAGCTTGTTGCCACTCTCCCGCAGACAGTCGTTGATCTGGGCCTCGTCCCGGGGACATTGCTGCAGGTAGTAGGCTGGAAGAGATTGCATTCGAGCGGTGAGACAATGGCTCGTAATTTAACATGCCACGCTCTCTAATTGCCAGATTTTGCCTATTCACGTATTGCATTGTTAAGCTGCCGGGACTGAGTTAGTCAACAAGGGCTTACAATGAAACTGAAGATTCACTTTCCTCACGGTAATTGCGCTTCCCAGGCGAGTGCGTCAGGGGACGTGGGTTCAAGTTCGCAATTACCTCGCCGGTCTCACACCGGATAATCGCTGTGAACAAGTCCAACCTGCACTTGGAGTCAAAATGCTACTGGTGACAGGTTTATTGCCGGGGCAATTAACTTGGTTATGTTACAGTGGATAGGGGATATGTGGTAATCATTAAACGCAGGGGCATGCTAGTTTCTCTGGGATTAAAGTCTGGAACAACTGCTAGTCTTTGTTCTATTCGTAGTTTGACAATTTGAATGCTTAAACTCAGATGTAATCAGGAGTGAAAATATACTAATATTAATTTCAAGGCATCCTATTATGCATTATACAATAAATGCATTTTTCAAGTGACCGGAGAATGGTTATTGGCTTTCTTAACTCCATGCCCCATCATCCATATGAGAATGTATCCCTAAAGCTACTTATAGTTTGATCCGAGTTGAAAACGGTAATAGGGGTATTTTATTACCAACTCTAATGTTTTTTAGGGTTGGTTTTTAAGTGTGCAACATTTAATGCCATAGTGTTTTGAATTATGACTGAATACATTTATCGTTTAAAATTATTTTCTTTTTGATCTACCAAAAACTAATAAAAACGTGTAGTTTTATTTAAGTTCTTTGAAGAATAATCTGCAAAACCTTTAGAGATTTATCTTGGCACGTTCTCTATTCGAACTTTTAAAAGGATTTTTAGTGCTTAAGTACCTCTAGACCACTTAGGTTTTAATAATAAAGACAACTTTTACACTGAACTCCGCTCGCACTAATGGAATTTTTTGTAAAGTGATTACCCTGCTTCCAGAGTTATCTGCAATTTGGATTTGGCCAACCGGGGGAAGAACCGCAGAACCTGAACTATTACCCTCGAAAATCGCGGCCATTCATTGCTATTCTGGGAACCACTTGCCCGGCTGCGGTATTGGCCAACTTTCGTTGTTGCCGAGGCACGTCTTGGGGGTGGTAATTAATCAATGCCAAATCCACGGCTCGGTGGACGTGTCTAAGGACCGGCTGGAAAGTCAGTGCGGCGTTTGATGTAACTTAGAAAGCCCCGGCCAAAAAGGGTATCACATGTTATATAGTTTGATCGCTACTTACGCTGCTCCTGGGCCAGGGCAGAGCCCAGCATGGTGACGAGCAATACTAATCCAATATTCCGGCTCATTTTGTGGTTCGTCGTCTGCATGAAAGTACAAGTTGCAGAAATTATTGATGAGTGTTCGTTGTGTTTCACTTTTGGCTAGTTTCGTAATTGATTAGCACGTTTCGGACGCTCTCTTCTGTCTGTGATATATGTATATGAATATGAGTATATGCTAATTTTGGTTAGATGACGTCGCTGCCTGTTGGTCTTTACGAGCGAAAGCGAAAACAGTCGGGAAAGAATTTTGAACGGCGCAACTCGAAGTCCGAAATCTGAAATTAGTGCGGGTTTCACTTTGGAGCGGAAATTCTTTCGTTTCGGCCTGGAAGTGGGTCAAAGAGCCAGGGCCCAACCAGTTCACTGTTTGTTCTTGAATAAAGAATCGGTCTGTCTTCGCTGTACTGTCTCCGGTCTTCAGCTGCTTTCTTCGGCTGCGCTTACTTGCGTCCAACTTTCACGCGACTCGGCTGGGGAATGAGCTCGCATTGCGTTGGTCCAAGCCATTTTAACCAACAAGAAGTCGGCTCGAAAGCCCGACCAAAATGCAGCGAAAGAGCCGTGGAAAGAAAGACGAACAAAAGGCCTTTCTGCCACACCCCAGAAATCGGGCGCAGTAGACAGGTCGTCGGCGTTATCATCGCGGCACAGGAAAAAATGATCAAAACTTTATTAAAAAAATGCAAAATTCAAGGAGATAACCTCGTAGTTTTAGGATCTTTTTCGAGAAAATTAAGGTAGCACAGCAAGCATTCTTCAAAATAAGACAATTCTTATATTTAAGACTTTAATTTGTCTAAAAAGATATGACTATTCAATTAATTTTTGTACAGTGTAGTTCCGTTTGCCTGAGCAGGGAGCCCCTGAAGGTTAAGTTTAAAGGGTCTGTGACTCGGTACCCAACCTCCTACAGCCGCGATTGCAGCCTGGTAATGAGGCTTCCATGAATCATCCGAGCCGCTTGGCATCATTAGCGAATTTCCAAGCTGGGATTAGCCCCGGTGCCTCGCTTTCCACCGTTTAAGCCCACTGTTTCAGCGCTTCTGCCTTTCGGCCCATTTGCGGGCCGCACTTCCACTTGCTGTCAAAAGGTCAAGACGTGCGATTAGAACCAAGTGCTGAGTACGGTAATGGGCACTCATTACCCGGCCATTCAGACCGTCCATCCAATGAACCCGTGCCCAAGCATACAGTGTGTTAACCCTAATAAATCAGAAGTATTTATTTGCTCTGCCAGTCGAAGTATTGATGAAATGCAGACAAGCCCTCGGAATGAAATGCAATTGTCTTTGAAAACTGTTCAGAGAACTTTATGCCCTGTCGGGAACGTTTCGATTATTGACCATTGTGCGTTTTGCATTTAAATTGTACACTTGAGTTGGTAGCGTCTCGTGAGTCGTGTGCTATGGGGTCTCTTAATAATTACCAGGAACAAATAAATGTTCAAATATAATTGTTTTTCTGAAGCAGACCTGTTATATTATTATCTTATTATTATTATTCTTTTATTTATTACTAAAGTATACGTTTTTCATAGTGTGTGGGTAGAGATAGAGGGCATGGCCAATTTTGTCCTCTAGGCAAAAGGAAAATCGGCTTCAAGAGATTAATTCAAAAATGAATTGATAAGATCTTACGTTGTTACAATTCATCAGATGCAACTACACAGAAAAATTATGATTTGTTATGTTACGTACGTCCCCAGAAAATATTAAGAGCAATTTTTTAAAAATTCATTTTTATGTAGAGGCTGTGTATTATTTCTAATTATTTTCCGGATGCATCTTTAGTGTGAGCCATAAGTATGGATGACTATGATCCCAGCGCCTAAAAGTATGCCACAGAAACCTTAAAATTCGGAAGTGTAAAATGTGTTGTTATATACTTTACTTTACTTTACATATGGGGTCAAAAATATTTGAATAAAAATAACAAGAAGAAACAAGAAGAAGACGGTTAAACAGGTATGCATAAGGTACACTCTTCTAAAATTATCCTTTTAAGACTAAAAAAAATTAACATGAGTTGTTGACTCGGAGGTGACCTATGAATTTAGGAGGATAAATAGAGAACCTTAGTTTTTGCCCACACATGTATGTATGTATGTACATATAATTTAATTAAATTTAATTTAGGTGTCTTATCTCGAATTTAAAATCCAGAGCTCGAAGCTCAAAGCTTCTGTTTGGTCCTTTACATTTCTTTAGGTTATGCATTAAGATTAACAATTGTTTTAAAAGACAGACCTACGAATCTTTTAAAAAATTTAAATGCTTCTAATTTAAACAAGAATCTTACAAGGTTTTGCTAAAGCACGCTCAATTTGCATTAATGCTAGTTTCCAAGCATGCATTATAAAGATACGTACGTAGCAATTTGAAATATGGGTTGATTGGATAATGGTCAAGGTTACAGATAATAGAAGACCAAACGCTTGTATTTTGTCACCTGTTATGTCTTTTAAGCTATCTTAAGAAATTTTGTACATCTTTTTGTTGAAACAAATCTTAAAGACCTTAAAAAAAGATGATAACTTAGAAATTTGGAGAAACCTAATTGTATATAGAGATACATACATAGATAATAAGATAGATAGCTAGATAGATTGATAGATATATAGCTTGATTGCTAGATAGATCGCTTGATAGGTAGAAAGATAGCTAGATTGACAAATAGAGAGATACATAAAAATATAGTAGTTTAGATAAACGTTTTAACATAACCATTGGCAGAAGTCAAAGATTATCTACGCTTTTCGATTCCATTCTATCCTGGTTTCACTATCATAATTTTCAGGTGCCTAGTAGCCTAGAATTCCCCAAAAAGAAAGGCTCAAGAGAAGCAACAGCACACCACACCAAGATACACTGGGTTGCGTGTGTAATCGGATGCTTGGCCCTGAGCCAATGACTCGGCTGAAGGTCAAGGCGGATTGGTGCTGAATGGGTCAACGTCAACCGAAAATCAGTCGAGTGTGAATGCCCCTGCGAGTCGCATCCCTTCGGGTCGATCGGGTTGAATGAAACGTTTCTGGGCCACAAGGAAGCTGAAGCCTAAATATCCCCTAATTAAGTGCAAATTATGTGAACAAAGACAGACAGAAACCGAAAGTTATTTTGTGCATCTCAAACTAAAAAAACATGTGTAGTATGTTGTAGAACTCGTTTCCGAATAAATTGTGTTAATTGTATCTGCTGAAAATGAATTTATTTTCATAATTAAAATATCAAGTTTAAGCTATTATGGTAATGTTCCACAGCTCAAGCTTAGTCACTTTGATAATTATTACATTAGTTAGAAAGTGCAATTAAAGTGTGACCGCCGGGTGAGCAAGTAATCAAAGTCAGATGGGAACGACAGAGGAGAAACAATAACAGACATAAAAACAATGAGATTTGAAAAATGTTCTCCTTCCTCTAAGCGTTTGCCATTATTCTCAGCCGCCTTTTGTGCAGATACAGATACAAAATGCGACGTATTTATAACCACATTGTGCGGAATACATTTCGACCGGCTTCAGAATCGGCAAAGAGGCCTTTGTGCGACAAATAAGTATTCCCATCGGCATCTTCACATTGCCCGATACTTCCCCATAGCTCTATTTGTCTGTGTTCAGGGCCATTGTAAACAGTTTAAGAGTTCAGTTCGTTCCGATCACAGTGCAAAGTATAGGCCAACGAAGTACTTACAGAACTCTGACACACAGAGAAAAATAAAACAGGTATTTTATCAATTAAAAGAGAGACGTGTCAAACGAGCAATTATCAATCATGCTTATAAAATTATGTAGGTAATACTAATAATAATTGTTAGTATCAATATTTTTTCAAAATGCAAATGCTACTTGGAAACAGAAGTAGTTTGCTGAACGGCTTAGTATTTCCGCGAAATAAACCCATAGCCTGCTAGACAATCGCTTAGTCACACTCCAGAAATTATATAATTCCATTGGGACTGGTCTATCAAGATCGTATAGGATCTATGCTGCCAACCAGTTCGGTCAATTACTAATTCATTTTCAGCACTGCGTGAGGAAAGTATTCTGATTAAAAAATAAGCAAAAGTATTGATCTGATTCGATGATACATTTTTAATCAAGGGCTAATAAGCAAGCATGTGAACTATCCAGGTAATAGTCTATGTCTATGTCAATAGTTGGAATGCATTCACAAATGAAGTGACTCATCTTGCATTAAAATCGAAATAATGTAAAAAATGATTGGTTTTAAAGTACAAATTTGTTTTTCAATTATATTGATCTGTCGGTTGATTTAACATTTAATAAGTGAAGTGGCTTATTAACGCGAAGCGACAGATTCGTTTTCTTTTGCCGTTTTAGCTGATAGCATTCATGATAGCATTCCAAAGTCAGGTTTTGCTAATCCGGGCCTGCCTTTTAAGCACACATCCTATTATCTCACTCTAATGGACAATTAAAGCGCTACACACACTTTTAATTAGAGGCGGCGATATTTCCAGCTTACCTCGTTACGGTTCCAAGAAGATAAAGAATCTGTTCGACTCAAGGTTCCGCAAATAAAGGAAGCACTAGGAATCTCAAATTTTATGGGACTTTAAAAGACTCTGCTTAGTAGGTATCATTAAATACTGCAGCTTCTTGAGTTGAGTTATTAAAAATTATAATTCTATCTTTTAAACCACGAATAGGGGCTTATCTTCGAGCTTATTCGTTTATCGCTCTGCATAATCCCATCTGAAGTCTATCTTCACGGCTCATTTGTGGTTGGGCTTTGGAAGGTTGCCTCTTGGTGAAGTTCATCAGGCTCTAGTCGATGTCTAATTCTGCACCTCTGCATCTCGGTTTGCAGGCGATTGCGAAAATAGAATTGCTTAATTACTTTTTATGACACTCGACAGTTGGGCAAACAAGCCAAGAAGTTGCACAGAAGCCGAAGATCCGAGGAGAGGGCCCCAAAAGGCAGTCGGTCAGTCAGTCACTGGACCTAAGCCACTCGCGTCGCAACTGGCTGCTGGATATACATATGTGTATATGTATATATGTACCCAGATCCGCAAAAGTTGAAGATCTCTGCCAACGGAGACGTCGTCGTCGGGACTAGAGTTTGCATCTCGTTTCATTTTCCGCGGCTTTAGGCTTTAAAATCGGCGATCGACCGGCGACTTGTCCGCAGTTTACGTTCTCAGCTTCGCGTGGACGGACGTTTGACCAGCTGAAGTTTTGGTCACTTAGAATCACTTTTTGCTTCGACCGTGTTTCTATAAATTAGTTTTCATATTTCATACTTTTTATTTAGTTTTCAAAACTAAGCTCAAGTGATACCGAAAATGCTCAAGTCCGTGTGCCTTGTGATTGTGCTCCAAGCTCTGTTTCTGGTTCAGGCCGAAAGCCGTAAGTTGAGATCGTAATTTATTTCGGGGAGTGAATAGTGTTTTTTAAAATCGTATATATTAAACTAAGGAAAAAAGGGAAATGTCTAGGCACAAGTGCAACATTAAACTAATATTTTTATGAAATCACAAAGATTTCAATTAAATTTATGTATTCATTGAGACTATTGATTGACAAAAATCCTAAGGATTAAGAGAATAAGTAAAAACTTTTTTCTTAATTGTTTAACTTGATAGACATCAGAGAAGTAAAATAATGTATATGTGACTTTCATATTCTTCCATTTTATAATTATCTTATCTAATTTGTTAATTTTACTACTCAAAATGAACTATTGAACTGAACCCAACTCAAGATACTTAACTCCGTGCTGGGTAATTTGAGGTGTTTTAGGAACCTTAGGAAATGTACAGTGCTATAATAATATTTTCATTGTGCACGCTAATGATAAAAAATAAAAAGTTAATAAAAGGAATATATATAACTATCTTCAATGATTACCTTGATTAACTTAAACAGGTACACTTAAGTTGACTCTCGTGCTATAAATGCTATTTAGAAAATGCTCCATATGAAACCTATTACGAGTACTTTGCAGGGTATTAATTTAACGACTTTAAATTAACTTACTGTCTTTGTGTCCCCACCGAGTATGTGGAATTAGCACTTTCACGCTCGCTGGACTTAGAATGCAATCACATCTTCGGGAATATGTCAGATGTCAAGTTTACTCAGGTCTAACCACCTGTCAGTCCCACAAAATAAGCACAATAATGTGATAATTGCGTGAGGCGACACAGTTTTGTCTGACAAATGAGCGAAGCAGCACAGAAAAGGGGGACAATGGGCCGACGAGAGTCAACAGAGATTCGCTTCCGCATCGCACACTCGATAGCTGAGACTTGAATGTAAACACTCAAAAATGCAGAGTTTGAACCAAATCCATACTTAATTAACACAAACCGTGGCCGTTGGACAGCCTTCAACTTGAAATTTTAATCGCTCCCGCTGCAGCTCGCCTTGCCGTCGAATGCCGCTAATTAAATCGCCCGGGCATAATGGTACTATAATGATAATCCAGCCATAACCACCGTCTGTAGCCGCCAATATGTGTGTCATGTGCCACAGAATTGCGGCTCAACAGGTTCTATGTAGTGCTGCACTTCTCGATCGACGACAGCGACAACCTTGCCATCGAAACCGAAAACTGAACCGAAATCGAGATCTCAATCGCGGTTGGGGCTTCGACTTGAAGGCCACGGCGTCTTGGACTTGTTTTTAAGCTCGTCTGCAGAGTCGATGAACTTTACAGGAATTAAATTTGCGGTTGATGTTGATCTTTGTTGACACTTCTGAGTGTTTATCTTCCGACTTTGCAGGGAAAGATCGAGTGCCTCAACTACGGGATAGCTCTTCTGAAGTATCGAAAGTTGTGTTTTGACTTAAAAAATATTTGTTTTTATTAGTATTTAACCTTTATTAAAATGATGGTTGAATTTGTAGTTCACGAAATATAAAGAGTATGGAATGGGCAAAGAATTTGATTTAATAGCAATTAATATTTTCAAATAAGCTCTGAATAACTTACTTATAATTTTAATATCTGTATTTAATTGATTATTTACATTACATTACATGATTGATCTATTACAGCCGCCTATATAAAACAATGCCGCAGGGATGACCCAAAGTTGGTAGACTGCTTTATTGGAGCCATTGAGCACTTGAAGCCCTACTTGGCCGATGGCATTCCCGAGATCCAAGTGAGTAATACCCCTCCCTAGATGCATTAGTTTTCGCACATCTCGTTTGACTTTCTTTTAGCGTGTTTACTTTGAAAACGAGTTGCAGTTGCATAAGATGCAAATCAAATGGAAGTCACTGGGGCCGACTTGCGTAATGATAGATTTTGCGGGGAAAGCTGCGAAAGTAGTCACTCTTTTCACAGTGGGGCAATACAGGTGAAAACTTGAAAAAAAAACAGGATTCGTTAGTAGTGATAGTTAATATACTTATATCTATATTTTGTTTCTCGCTTTATTTAAGGGGCTATGATAAACACAAACTTGTTTGAAATAGCTCTAATTTCTATTTGATTTATTTCTGGATATATAAAATACTTTTAACTTGCATCAGATCTTATGACCTGTCACATAAAATTTGTTTACAAGTTTTGATTTTTGACAGCTGCAGTTTAAGTTCTAGAAATGTAATATTACTGGTTTATCTCGACTTAATCTGTATTACGATCCACATCTTTCCAGCTGCCCTCTGTGGAGCCCTTCAAAATGGATACTTTAGCCTTGCAATTAACTGAGGGTCCTCAGGGCTATAAGATCACTCTGAAGAACATGGAGGCCTATGGGGCCAGCAACTTCCTGGTGAAGTCCCTCAAGCTGAGCGATGGCAACGAGCCCTTCAAGGCAAAGATCGTGATGCCAAAGCTGAAGATCGAGGCCAAGTACACGAGCTCCGGAGTCCTCTTGATTCTGCCTGCCTCCGGCGGGGGCGACTTCCACGCCAATTTCGAGGGCGTAAGTGCTGACCTTACTGGCAAGACTTCGAGGCCCGCGGCCAAGGGAGGAAAGTACTTGCACATCGATGCCCTCAGCCTGGTGCTGGATGTGAAGGATGTGAAAATGAGCATTTCTGGTGCCTTCAACAACAACCGTATTTTGCGTGAGTCAAAATTTATATTACACCTTCTTATTTTGTGCTAATTAAATCTTAATTGTTGTGTTGCAGTGGAGGCAACAAATCTGTTTCTGCGAGATAACTCACAAATCGTCCTGGAGGCCATGCAGGCTCAGCTGCAGAAGAAACTGGCCAGCGAATTCGGCAAGTTGGCGAACCAGCTCCTGAAAAACGTTCCTATCGAGCAGTTCTACGTGGACTAAACCTAGACACTCCCGATCCTAGTTTGCTAATCTAAGCTAAGGTTTATTTAATTGTAAATTACTCTCTAATGCTATGAACCAAGTATTAAATTGTATGTGGTGTGAATATCGTTCATTCAATTTGTAAGGAGGTACGCTAGAAATTGATTGGGTGTTGTTATGCTACTCTGTAGGATACACAAAGTACACTGTAAGCATTAAATTTGATGAGGCGATAAAAACCCAACATTTGCAGATTTTATAAACCAGTTTTTAAACATTTGAAAACTCCCCTGAACTGTTTTACGACTATGGTGGTTGTTTTTGCATGGAACTTATGCATTTATAGATATACATACATATGTAAGGTGAATTAAAAGCTCAAATTGCTTTTGTTTATAAAATAAAGGATATGTATTAAAGTTGAGTTGGAAAATTAAATTAGGTAAAAATTAACTTTTATGTGTGTTGCGTTGGAATCGTTTATTAAAACAAAAAATATGATTAACCACAAAATAACACCAAACATATTGTCCCTTCTAAATGAAAGTAACTAAGCCGAAAATTAATTATAAAAAATTTTATAAATTATATAATGAAAAAAGGAATTAATTCTCGTATTTAAATTATTTAACAACCACCAATTTCGTGCTTCTTGTCAGCTACCAACATATGTTGGTATATACCTACATAAAATCGTATAAAATGTTGCCAAAAGAATATTTCCGACAAAAATGTTTCATAGAAAATGTATATACATACGATATTTATGTTCACTGAAACATACGATATTCAACATATGTATACCTACATAAGCTCGTATAAAATGATCCGACAAACATGTTTCATGGAACATGTATACACGATATTTATGTTCACTGAAACATACGATATTCAACAATATGCTTACCTACATAAAATCGTATAAAATGTTGCCAACAAAATGATTCGACAAACATGTTTCATGGAACATGTATACACGATATTTATCTTTACTCCAACATACGATAATTCATACTATAATAATAAGACACGATACAATAAAAAAATTAACTAAAATTCGATACGATACGATTCGATGTATATCCTCCTACTGACTTCCATGAATGAAACCCCCGGAAAATCTGCCAAACGTAGTAACAATCTGGAGTAACTTATTTCTTGTATATATTTTTTTTAATTATAAATTTTTTTGCTTGCATTTTTCTTGCATTAATTCCTTTTCTAATATTTAAGAAAGTTGTCTCGGCTATAGGTTGAGAACTTTGATGTAAGATCGTTAGAGTATCGATGGAGTTTCCAACCAATAGCCGAGACCTTAAAACTTGTTTGTTTATCTGACTACAACTATTCGACATCGAATTAGCAATGTACAGACCAAGATCTTTTCAGAATACTAAGCTTATCTTACTTTAAAAAATCGAAAACAATTACATTTATTTGTTTTTTTTTGTTTGTATTCTTTTCATTAAAAAAATATTTTTTAATATTTACAGGAAAATTACAAAAAAATAAAGGTTTAGGTAGGTCCACTCTTACTCGTCAATTAAGCCTCTTTGTAATGACAAATTATTTGTTAGCAACTGATTCATCATAAATAAGAAACAGAATTTTGAAAACATAAAATATTTTTTACTTTTATGTGTTGTAAACCTAAGCTTCATTACTATATATATTTAACATACACACCACCTGTGTGGCGTTATCATTAAATTGGCTTTCTAATGATTATGGTTGTTTTTTATTTATAAACTAGGTGGCGCTTTAGCACAATTTTAATTTTTAATGCTTTGAAATTTATTTTACAAATGTACCAAAATGAAAATTTGTCGCCACCTATATCACAGATATAACATTATCAATCATAGATGGCGCTTCCGATCTTGTACGTAAATTATATTTAACATCTGAAGAGTTTAATGCCCTATACATTCTAGTTGCCATAAAACTTAAAATATTATGGATTTGTTAAAAACCTTCAATTATTGCCCTGCATCAAAAAAATCTACAAGCCGACCCAACCAATACGGCTCCAATATCCATTTAATTATTTCTGTACTTTATAATATTTTTCTACAGCCGATTTAAATCTCTATTTTGGTGCAACGGTGAAGGCAAGAGAAATTCTTCCTATATATAGGTACTCTTCACGTTACCCATTAACTGAATTTAAATATTTCTGGTATTTCGCGCGCACAGATAAATAAAGTGTCCGCCAACTATTCCGTTGATAATGCTGAGCTTACTCCACACACTGGGCAGAATTTGTTACCTCCGCGGCACTGGGCACATTAATACGTTCAAGAGACCGAAGAGTCTGGCAGCACCATGGGCTCGAGACCAAATAGTCTGGCAACGCCTCAGTAGTGGGAATTTACATATAGAAGGCGCTTCATTCAATGTATTTTTTTAAGTTTTAAAGCAAGGCATAGATGGCGCTTTATTCAACTCTTGGACCAAACCGAAAAGTAAGTTTTTTTATATGCATTTTAATGATTGATTTGTGTTATCACTATTATTTTTTTTCGAATTAATTTCTTATTTTTAGATTTAATTACGACATTATAAGATGCATCCCTTAATCGAACATTGTGATAAATTTGGGATAAAAGAAAATAATCCTTTATGATACAATTTTGACATAAAATTTAAAAAAGCATATTTTAACAAATATCATTTACATTTACATTTACATTTTGAAGTTTGTTCTTTACGCAAAATCTTGATTGTGCATACATGTAATCATTATATAATATAATATTTAAATATTTATATTTAATTAATAACTAAAATATTCACACCAATGTTGTTTTTTTAATGTATTAATTATTTTTATAAAATTCAAATCTAAAAGTTCACAAAAATCTTGAACAAATAACATAATGGCCAAAAAACCCTTATTATTTGATTTCCCAGTCCGTTTTCAGCTAATCAGAAATAAATTTATCAAACCCCAGAAGTATGCAATGAGATATACTTGTATAAATATTTATTGTATTTTCCATTTATAGCTTATCCTTTCTATAAACCGCCACTTATACTTCAGTGAAATCTATAATTTAAACAAATAAGTGCCAAGACCTTATTTTATTTATTCGGAAGTAAGTTCATATATTGGTATGTTATACCTAACTACCTACTCTTCATTAAAAATATAAAGCAATCATTTTCACTTTAATTTTAATCGCTGTTGCTTGCAACTACATACTTATGTAATTAGATATGCAAAAAATTAACACAATTGCTTTATAATTTAAAAACACGTTTTTTTATTTCTCATCAGTAACCACAAACTTTAAAGAAAGTCATCAAAAGAGTGAAACATATAAAAGCGTTTTTAGTTTAAAACAGGAATAAATTTATACTAGCGGTTGTTTTTTATTTATATTTTTTCTTCCTTTTTTTTTGAAAACATTCTTTATTTTTAAGTTATTCTTATTTAAAAAACTATATAAGAAGTTATTCATTCGAAATAGTGATCTTTAAAACTTGTATGTTTATTTCATTTATTTTATATTCATATTTTCTTGTAAATATTACTCGATAGAACGCTACTTTAATCGCCTTTAAAAGTCAATTTATTGCTTAAGAATTCCGCTCGAATTAGCAGATTTTTGCTTTGTATATGAAGTCAAAGTTGTACGTTCGCGTTTTGAGAATTATTATGAAACTAAAACTCGATGAGCTAACATAATTTTATAGTCTTCTTTACATTTTTGATTTCTATTGCTTAAGTTTAGATACAATCCACTTTTTATTTAAACGTTTTTGGGATTGCTTAACTTTTCTTAGATATAGATTAGATAGATATGTCAATCATACTTCTTAACAGCTTTTTTTCAGTAGTTTTCTTTCTGACTCAATTGTTTACCATTTCAGCTAATTTAAATTTTACGCATGTAATGTAATTCCTGCGATGCTTTGCGTCGAACTTGGAAGCCATTCTTTGGGAGGATTATTTAATATACTTGGATTGAGGCAAGTTTTGCCCGGACAAGTGAGATAACAGCTGAACAGAACGGTACTTGCCAACTTCTGGGGCGCCATGAGGCTTAGGTGGCGAGGGGAGCGAGGGGAGCGGCTTCTAATGACATGGCTGCAGTGCATCTGCCGGATGGTGGAGGAGACATCTAAGTGAATTGTCGTGTTGACAATTTCGAACAGCGAACAGGCAGAGCTGAGGAAAAGTTAATATGCTCGTGCGCGGCACTCAAGTATTTAAACATTTGCCCGCTTGTAATTCGAGCCGCATGCAAGTGCAGATACTAAGCGCAGATACTCGCATCCGAGGGAACGCCAAAGTATCTGGGCGATGCATTTTGGATTTGCCGCGTCCTGAGAATGGTGATGGAGATGGAGGTGGAGATGGCTTGGTGGCATGTTCGGCATGCGTGCGCCAGTGCCCGCCGCTTGTTTGTATCTTTAAGATACTTTTGCTGTTCGGCGCAGACGCTGCGCTCCACACACACTTTATTTATTGTATAAACAATTTCGTGACTTTGTTGTTTATTTTGCCTCACATTTTGTTGCACCGCTCGTTCGACACACGTAATGGATGTCTGGGACCGCCAGCTAATACACAGAGAGAAAAGGGTTCTCAAATTTATGTCATGAACCAATGAAGGTATCAGTTAAGGAATATGAACTCAATACTTCAGATACCAAATACCATGTATATTTAAGGAATAACCTAATGGAAAGTCACCGTATTTCTTCCCCTGCAAGGGCATTGTCATGGGTGATCGAAGGCAGCGTTTCAGCCTCAAAGTCTCACCTTTTTTGTAAACGCGTTTTGGTAAAATGCCTTGGCAAATATGCAGGCAACTTCACTTTCTTGCCACTTTCTGCTCGGGCAGCCAGTGCTCGGCCTACAACTAATTTATGTTTGGCACTTGGCTGTATCGCTTTTTGAAGACTTTGCACTGGCCGTGATGGAACCAGCCTAAAAAAACACGGCACGCATCTTCGCCTCTTTGGTCTGAGTAAATACTCCGCCGGAGCAATAAGCCCAGCGCCAAACTCCGGGGGAACTCGAAAAAAGAAGAGCTCGCAAACGATGCTCGAGTGTTTTCTTTATAAACAGAAAACTTAATGATGTTGATTTAGTAGAACAGACAACCCCAGATCGT